AGTTTAAAAACTGCTCTACAACCTTTTTAATGTTTAGTGCCAGCAGTCTGGTTCCACTTTGGTTTAGGTGGAGCCCATCCTTCCTGTATAGGCTCCCCCCATCCCAAAAGTTTCCCCAGTTCCTAATAAATCTAAACCACTCCTCTCTACACCATCGTCTCATCCACGCATTGAGACTCTGAAGCTCTGCCTGCCTACCTGGCCCTGTGCGTGGAACTGGGAGCATTTCTGAGAATGCCACCATAGAGGTCCTGGATTTCAGTCTCTTTCTTAGCAGGCTAAATTTGGCCTCCAGGACATCTCTCCTACCCTTCCCTAGGTCACTGGTACCTACATGTACCATGACCACCGGCTTCTCCCCAGCACTACACATAAGTTTATCTAGATGCCTCGAGAGATCTGCAACCTTCGCACCAGGCAGGCAAATCACCATACGGTTCTATATAATGCCTACGTCTGTAATTTTCACTCCATGCATCTGAAGAAGTGAGGTATTTTACTCACAAAAGCTTATGCCCAAATAAATCTGTTAGTCTTCAAGGTGCCACCTGACTCTTTGTTGTTTTTGTGGATACAGACTAGCACGGCTACCCCCTGAGACTTGACACCATCTAATTTGGGGTCTCCCACTCCTCTTATCTTCTGCATCTATGTTTAGCACCTTGTTTCCTGTTTGTTTTTCTGACTTTCTTGTCACAACCCCATGTGAGCCTGGGTCCCTCAGCTTTTCTATAATTGGTCCTACTTTCACTCTTGCCCTAATTCCCTCATTTCGAACACGGTCCGTCCTTGTAACTCCAAGCATCCATCTTAACATTTTCACTTCCTCTGTCTTCAAGAATAGCCCCTGGCTCGTCCTCAGTCCCTGGCTTTCGGAGCCATACAAAAGTGCAGCCCTGATCACCATCTTCTAGAGCTTACCTTTCTGTTTGATAGGTGTTCTCCTATCGCAGAGCACTCTCTTGCTTCTCGCCCTTTACTCCGTGCCTTTCCCAGTCTGCTTATAAGTTTCTTGTTGAGTTGATCATTTTCCTGTACTATGATAGAATTGTACGAATGGAAGGGACCTTGAGAGGCCAACTAGTCCAGTCCCCAGCACTCATGGCAGGACTAAGTATTATCTAGACCATCCCTGACAGGTGCTTGTCCAACCTGCTCTAAAAAATCTCCAATGCTAGAGATTCCAGAACCTCCCTAGGCAATTTATTCCAGTTCTTAACTATCCTGACTGGAAGCTTTTCCTAATGTCCGATTTAAACTGCCCTTGCTGCAATTTAAGCCCATTGCTTCTTGTCCTATCATCAGAGGTTAAGGAGAACAGTTCTTCTCTCTCCTCCTTGTAACAATCCTTTATCTACTTGAAAGCTTTTATCGTGTTCCTTCTCAGTCTTCTCTTTTCCAGACTAAACAAACCCAATTTTTTCAATCTTCCCTCATAGGTCATGTTTTCTAGACCGTTAATCATTTTTGTCGCTTTTCTCTGGACTTTCTCCAACTTGTCCAACTTGTCCACATCCTTCGTGAAATGTGGCACCAGAACTAGACACAATACTCCAGTTGAGGCCTAATCAGAGTGGAGTAGAGCGGAAGAATTACTTCTCATGTCTTGCTTACAACACTCCTGCTAATACATCCCAGAATGATGTTTGCTTTTTTTGCAACAGCATTACACTGTTGACTCAGATTTATCTTGTGGTCCATTATGACCCCATCCACAAGGCTTGTTTCCCTGCCAAAGAAAGTTATCAGATTGATTTTACAGGATTTGTTCTTGACAAATCCATGCTGACTGTTACTTATCACCGTATTATCTTCTAGGTGTTTGCAAATTGATATCGAACCTTCTAAAACTTCTGTAGCTTTGCTAGTGGCTGGTCCCAGACTTACACGCCCATTGTCTTCCTGCAGGAGAGCATTGAATCTACAGACCATATACTCTGATTTCTTCTGCTGATTTTCATGCCATTTCTTTCCAATATGCACCTCCTTGTCTAGCTGCATCTTCCTTCACTTCCTCTTTCCTCTCCCCCCACAAGCACTACATCATCTGCAAAAGGCAGGTACCAGGGGGCTACTCTCTGGCTGCTTTCTGTCAATGCATCCACCTCCAACGTGAACAAAAAGGGGCTTAGTCCCAAGAATTGATGTATTCCAGCTGTTACTAGAAACTGTTCCCTTTCTCCACATGAACCTCGCGCTGTGGCAACAGCACCATCGTCTGAGGTGCTCACGAGGAGACGATGGACATGTCTGATATAAAAGCTTTATTCACTCCATGAGGGGTGTCAGGATCAGGCCCCTGCATAAAGCAAATACCAATGTCAGTCGCCCTTCAGCGCCTGCAGAACTCACCCTCTGCCCTGGGTCTCTCTGCAGGGAAAGCGGAGCGTCGGAAGCAGCGGGTTTTGCTCTTTCTTTAATTCAGCCTTAGAGATTTTGATGTCCACGTGTGGAAATGGGAGTGCGGCGTTATCACTGGAGGTGAGAGGCTCTGCCCACTGAATGTGACCTGAGGGCTAGTGCCCCTGTGTGTGTCCCAGAGCCGTGCCGGATGCTGTGCTGGCAGGGCCGGCTCTAGGTTTTTTGCTGCCCCAAGCAAAAAAATTTTTGGCTGCCCCACACCTGAGCCCTGGGCTCTCACCCGCCCCCCCCACCCAGAGCCCTCCCCCACCCGCATGTCATGCCGCCGCAGCGCTGGGCTCTCCCCACCCACCCACACCCCCTGCCACCCCAGCCCTGGGCTCCCCCCCACCAGTGCTGACTCCGCCCACTCCCCCTTTGCCTCCAGCTGGTCAGGGGCTGGCAGAGTCGGGGTAAACAGTGGGGCTCCCGGGCCACGCCTCAGCCCAGGGTCCCTCCAGCCAGGGCTCCCACCTCTAGGACCGGCCGGGACCCAGCAGGGAGCTGAGGAACCGGGGCAAGGTAGACCCAGACGGAGTGGAGCCCCAGAGAGCAGGACGCGGGCCCCGCATGGCAGCGCCCCGCCCTCTATGGCCCCGCTGCTGCTGCTTCTGGCCACCCTGCCACAGTCCCTGGGCGGCTCGGGCCGCTTCGCCCAGCCCCAGCTGCAGCGCTGGGGGGCGGCCGCCCTGCGGCATCTGCAGGCAGCTCCGTGTGTCCCGCGGGGTTGCCCCCAGCCCAAGTGTCCCCCGCTCGGAGCCTGCTCAGCCCAGCCACAAAGTGCAGGTGCTGCTCCCCGCTGCAGGAACTGCAGCAGCGTCAGGGCGCCCCCCCACCCACGATGCACTGCTGCTGCCAGGGCCGGCTCTACGCTTTTGAAGCAAATGTGCCGCCCCAAGCACGTGCTTGGTTTGCTGGTGCTTAGAGCAGGCCCTGTGTGCTGGGTTAGGAGTCTCACTGGGCGGGAGGGAGACATGTAGATACTCTTCAGAAAAGATCTGTGCCCTCCACTGCTGTGGGGAGTGGGGGTGCAGCCTCTAGTGGTGTTTGTCTGTGTCTGTGTGCACACGCCCTCTAGTGGTGTGAGTGCACGTTTGTGTTTGTCCATCCACATGCGCCCTCTAGTGTTCAGAACTGTTGTTGTTCATCAGAGGTGCTATAGTGCTGACAGTTAATGGGGATTCTCCTCAGCTCATCTGTCAGTGACGTGAGTTTTTCAGGCAGCAGGATCTGGGCTCTATCCCTGCCCTGCCAGACATTTCTGAGCAGCTGCCGGATGCAGCAGAGAGACAGCCTAGGAAGCCGTGGGCCTGTGACAATGTTGTTCCCTGGCATCTGTAATGGAGGGATGCAGGAGTGAAGAAGAAAGGACAAAGGGTTCTACCCCAGTTGGCTTCAGGTCCCAGTGGGGCCCCGAGTCAGCCTCAGTGGACCCCCTTTGTAAAGGGCTTCCACTCTGAGAGCACTGCAGCCCCCTGAACTGGGAGAGGCTGTGATACCCGATGCCCCCTGGGAATACACGAGACCTGGCACCTAAATCCCGGACTCCTTGCTCCCAGGGCCTTTCCTTTCCTATCCCCAGAACGCGACTCTCCCTTTCAATGCCCTCCTGAACAGCACCTCCCTCTGGGATGGCGGAGACAAGAGGGACGTGGGGTCGGCTGTGACGGTCCTGCTGCTGAGCGTGGAATGGGCTGCGCTGGCCACTGCGCTCCGGTCTCCAGATAAGACAACACAGAACATGACGACAGAGTCTATGGGTGAGGGGGGACGTGTGGCTCTCAGCGCCACCTGCTGGCTGCCATGAGATATGGGGTTACACACTGTGCCCCAAATCCACTGGAAGTTAGAGCCTATATACCATTGTGGATGTGAGCCTGTGTTCAGTACAGACACAGACCAGCACTGCCCCTGCACCAGGAAATATAACCCAGCCCCACCAGTGCCCCCAGGAGCAACAGCAATGGCCGAGAAGGGTTTAAATGTAATATTTGGTATTCCACCACTAGGGGCTGCCATGCTGAGTCAAGCGCCTCCCCCCACCCCGAATACTCTCCCTTCTGGGGATGCAGCATCCACAGGGAGACAGAGCCAGAATGGGGGGAGAGGATATGGTGATCAATGGAACTTGGTGCGGGGAGGGGCTCCAAACTTCCACCTCCCACAGTGCAAAGTGCCCTGAAGCCCCCCAGCTCCAAGTGGAGTGGGAGGGGGGTGGATCTGGCCCAGAATGGACAGATTCCCAGGGAAGGGGTTTTACAGCGAGGGGCTCTGTCATTCCTCACCCCCACCCCCCACAGCTATCCAGACGCGGCTCGTCACAGGGAACTGCAGCCGGGACAGTGAGGTCTTCACGCTGAGAGCTCACGAGGAGACGATGGTCGTGCACTGTGATACAGTCACCGGGGCAGCCACACAAGGTACCATCCTGGGGATGGAGACACCCAGGGCCCAAACCACAGCACAGAGCGGTTCCTGGGCACTGAACCCCAGTCTGGGTTCCCCCGTTCCTCCCTCCCTCCCCATGGATCCCCAGGCCGGGCCCTGGCCTCTGTCTCTAGCCCTGGAGGGCTCCTTGCTGGCTGAGCCAGTGGTTCTCAGGCTGTGGCCATGGAGCTGACACCTTCGTTCCTGCCTGTCCCACAGCTTGAGCCCCGAGCAGTGAGGAGTTGGGGGCGCAGAGGGGAGACGGCTCATGAGAGGGTCTCTGGTATAAAATGGGCCCAGAGAATGGAAAGGGCAGGGACGCCCTAGTCTAGCCAGACCCCCAAATGGAGATGTGGGGACCAGGGTAACGTGTACCTCAGCTGCCATATTCAGGGCCCCGAATCCTCCAGCACCAGGGGAACCTCATCCCTGGCCAGCCCCTCTCCTGGTCTCACTGAGGAAAAACTGAATCTTCATCT